GACTAAAAGATGGCTTTGCCATCATTATGGGAATATACGAGTACTGCTAGAAAAAATCCAAATAAAAAATCACGTTTAATACAAAAAGAAACAAAAAAATGTGGGTGTAAAAGTTACATTAGTGTTGTATGTCCCGTTAACTCATCAACGGTTACCCTAAAATATTACTACAAATATTGTAACAATTATCCTGGCCAACTTTCAGACCTGTATATGCTTCTTCTTTCAGACAACATTCACTAGTTTATTCAGCAGCATGCTCTTGAAGGGTTTGATGTTTTTAGCATCTATAAATTCATGCAATTCCGGGCAATCGAATTGCAAAATAAGGTTCTATTATTAAGTTTTACTAATTTATATTAATTATTATTATTTTATATATATATTTTTTAAATAAGCAGTTATTCTAATTGTATACAGGGTGCCTCACTTTAATATCCAAATCTTTTCCAGGTATGGTTAGAATATTACTAATATAGTATTAGAGTGAGGTACCTAGGTATGATTGAGTTTTATTCTTTGGATATGTAGAAGAATAATATAATTAGTAAGAGCGGGGTTTGTGTATATAGAGAACACAATAAGGCGGATGATATTGGTTTTATTTTTATGTTCCAAACTAAAAAGCAGCGAGAATTAATAGAACATGCAAGAGTAGTGTGTTTAGATGGAACACACGGGACGAATCATCATGAATATCATTTATTTACACTTATTATACGCTATCCAGTTGTGGGTAGTGAATATCCGGTCGCATTTCTTATAAGTAAATTTAGACAAACATCAACATTAAAGAAATGGTTCAATTTTTTAAAACGTGAAAATGAAGAATGGAAGCCAGATATCTTTATGGTCGACGATGCAGGAGAAGAAATAAAAACGTGTCAAGAAACTTTCCCCAATAGCTCTGTGTTTTTGTATCACTTCCATGTTTTGCGGTCTTGGAGTTGAAAGCTGTGCCGCAAACATAGCACAAATAATGATCCACTAAAAGATACTGTTTGGGGCGATCTCTGGAGACTGCTCAAAATGGAAGGATGGAGTGATGCAGAAGCCCAAGCACAAGTTACGGAAACAATTAATCGGTAGCGAGAAATGGGCTCTGAGGTAATAAATAATTTCGCTGATTACTTTAACCACTGGTAGCGACCAAAGTATGATTTATGGATGGTTTGTACAAGAGGCATTTCTAGAGATATGATGGATACCAATAATTTGATTGAGCCATCCCATCGTAAGCTAAAGTATTCTTATTTAAGAGGGTGGCCAGGTAAAATTAAATTAAAATAGGTTAAATTTTTAATAAAAAAATAAAAATTAAAAACTAAAAAAGGAATTAAAAAAAACAAAAATTAAAAAAAATAAGTAAATAAATAGTGACGGGAAAAGAAAACCTGTAAATTATTTCACTCATTTCGCAGTGAATTCTATCCCTCAGGAGTAGAATTCACTGCGAAATGAGTGAAATAATTTACAGGTTTTCTCTTCCCGTCACTCAAATAAATAAATAAAAAAAATTAACAATAATATTTTTTTTACTCTAATTTACAGGTAGACGACTCGATGGCGAAGTGCATCTCCTTGTGGAGATTGTGCTTCGTGATATGAATTTTTCGGTTTTTCTCAATGATTTAAAAGTAGGCAGGATGGGCCCACGATTGCGCCAGCAACGCATTAGAGAAATTGTAGGGACTACACGCCGTAACAATATTTTTAATATCCAGCCTAATTTGTGGATAATACGTTCCTTAACAAATGACGACATTGAATATTCTGTTAGAAAGAAGGACCTTGCAAGCGATGATGATAATAACGATAACCTTAATGCTGCCTCTTATATTTGCAATTGTCGGAATTTTAATCACGACAATTGCCATGTAAGCATGTGTTTGCTGTATTAGCAAACAATCACGTTTACGATGAGGACATAGCGAATGATCAACAAATATTGGAATCTGATTGTTCTAATGCAGATCAAACAAATAATGATGGTTCAATTTGCGAAACTGCAGGAAGATCTTGCTGCAATTGTTAATGAATGGAAAAATATGAAAGGAGAAGACATTTATAGTCTTAGAATGGCCTTTCAGCAAGCTACCCAAATGGAAAGATCAAGAATCGCAAGGTTAGAATCTGTTGCTCGAGCTACTAATGACAATGAACCAATTTGTAATATAGCGCCAAATACAAAAATCGTGAGACAAAATAAGTATTAATTTATTTCTTTTCATTTTATTTAATTTTTTCCTGTATCGGTTGCACGCATGTATTCAAGCAAAGATTTGTAAATGAACTACGTAGAAAGTTTTTCATGTATAATAAAAAAAAACTTTTAATGACTAGTATAAATATCTTGTCTATTGTTTCAATTTAATAAAGATTAAGTGCTTGCGCAGTATTCAGTAAAAACTTAAGCCTTCGTTTATGAAAAATCCATATTCGCTTATGAAAAATCCATATTCGCTAATAAAACTATGTAAATACAAAACTTTTCGTTTATGAAAAATCCTTATTGTACAAATTAATTACTGTACAAATTATTTGCGAAGTCAATGTTTTCTCTTATTTTTATTTTGTTTTATTTTTTTTTTTTAAAAAATATTTATTTATTATTTTTAAATTTTTTATTTTTTATCTTTATTTTTTTTTTGGCGATATAAAAGACTACGTAATTCGGTAATTATTTCGTCCAATCAGAGACAATATTTACCACGCCAATCAGAAGTGGCGGGGAAATTAGGGCTCCCCAAATAGACACGATTTGGATTTATTTGAACCCAACCTGGGTTCAATAACCCAAGTTGGGTTTATTTAAACCCAAGTAATATAAAAAATTTAAAAACTTGCCCTGGAGCATCGCCCGGGCCTGAGAGCTAGTAATTTTCTAAACCATGTTTTATTTATGACTTAAATTGTCAAACGTGTCACTTATATCATAAACAAATACTGCAAATTCGAAGAGCTTATTGTAAATACGTTGAGATTCTTTATGCCGATAAACTTATTTTTGAACTTCTCAGCGTTATAGCAAAAAAGTATTATGTTGATTATCGGTCTATCCAATCTAACTCTATTTGATCCTATTCGGTCCTGAGCCGCGGTTTAGATTTTTAAAAGATTGACAGTCTTTGGATCAGGATAGACCGGATGGACCGATTAACAGCCCTAATTATAACTTTGATATGACCAGCATTCCTAAACAGAATATAAAAATTATAGTGCTTACAGAATAAAACCTGTTTAAATAGCAGGCGCCGAAATATTTATTATACCATTAATACTATATATTGTATTTAATATGTTTTGTAAACAACTAATTATAAAAAACACAATAATGTTTACAATTTGAAACATGACGCTCTTCTTTCTCTTGTAACCATATGGGCTAGATGCTTGGAAAAGGGACCAAATCAAAAATTCTTACAAAATCTTTTTTGAGCCTAACTAATTTAAAATCAACTCAGTAACATTTTCACTTAAGGAATAAAATGTCATTTTATTATTAAGTTTTAATATAACCTTTTAAAGTTTATATTTTCTTATTGTATGATTTAATATAAATTTTATAATATAAAAATCAATTTGCTGCAAGCCCGATTATTTGTTAATTTGGTCCCTTTTCTCAGCACCTAGCCATATATAATTAGATTGACAGAAAGTATAACCAACGTTCTTAATAATAAACCCTCTACTTTCTTAATAGTTTTCTATCAGTAATTGCATAATAGCCAAATAATATTTTCTAGCTCCTTAGATATGACATTGCAAACGTCTAGTCATTAACCAACTTACTAGTTTTTTTAAGATCAAAGTACTTCTTGTGGACATAGACGTTCTAATATTATAGATTTATCTAAATCTGCCAGTGATTTGTCATATTCTTTCATATAAAAATAAGTTATCCCACGTTGTCGCAATGCGAATACATTTTTTGGCTCAATTATTAGAGATTTATTTAAATATCTAAGTGATTTCTTATAATCTCCATCTTTACTGTAAATTGCTCCACAATATCCTAGTGCAAATGAATCTTTTGGATTAATTACTAATGACATTTCTAAATCCTTGCGTGATTTCTCAAAGCAATTAATTAGATAATAAGTAGCACCACGATTTTTTAGCACAAATGCATGATTAGGTTCTATTTCGAGTGACTTATTTAAATCAGCAAGTGAGTCAATATATTTTTCTACTATTCTGTAAATTGCACCACGAATTCCTAATGCAAATGCGTTAGTCGGCTCAATTCTCAGTAATTCATTTAAGTCTTTGAGTGATTTTTTATAATTTCCTGTCATATAATAAGTCCTTCCACGAAATCCTAAAGAATCGGTATTATTTGAATCGATTTCTAATGATTTATTTAAATCGAGGAGTGATGCGTTGTATAATTTCATATAATAATAAGTTACTCCACGTTGTTGTAATGTAAATGCATTATTCGGCTCGATTTTTAGTGATCCACTCAGGTCATTAAGTGACATCCAGTACTTCTTAATTTTACAGAAATTTATTCCACGATATCTTAAGGCAAATGCATCATTTGGTTTAATTTTTAATGATTTATTTAAATCAAAAAGCGATTTGCGATTTCGACATTTTTGGCAGTGAAAAGATGTATCGTATGACCGTTCATAATGATAAACGTCGTCTAAATTTGGCTCTATCAAGTGATTTATTTAAATCTGCAAGCGATTTATCATACATTTTCATTATTCTGTAAATGGCACCACGATTTTTTAATGCAAACGCATCATATTTCAAGAGAATTATTTAAGTCTACAAGTGATTCATCATAATTTTTCATTACTCTGTAAACTGCACCACGAATTCTTAATGCAATTGCATTAGTTGGCTCAATTTCTAATGATTTATTTAAATCTTCAAGTGACTTCTTAAATTTTCCTGTAATATAATAAGTCCTTCCACGAATTACCCAAGAATCAGCATTATCTGGATCAATTTTTAAAATCCTCGACTGATTTATCATATAATTTCATATAATAATAAGTTACACCACGTTGTTGTAATGTGAATGCGTTATTTTGCTCAATTAATGAACTATTCAAATCCTTAAGCGACATTTTATAATTCTTAAGTTTACAATAATTTATTCCACGAAATCTTAATGCAATGCATCATTTGGTTGAATTTCAAATGAATCATTTAAATCGTCAAGTGATTTTTCGTATTTATTTTGATATTGTTCGTAAGGCCTTGAATAACTATTTATTTGATAAGAATCGTCTAAATCTTTATCTGACATAAGATAAGTCGCTGCACGATGTTTTAATGCAAAGGCATCATTTGGCTCTATTATAAGTGATTTCTTTAAGTCTACAAGTGACTTATTATAGTTTTTTAAAATTCTATAAACAGCACCACGATTTTTTAATGTAAATGCATCATTTGGCTCTATTTCAAGAGATTTATTCAAGTCTATAAGTGATTCATCATATTTTTTCATTACTCTGTAAACTGCACCATGACTTCCTAATGCAATAGCATTAGTTGGATCAATTTCTAATGATTTATTTAAATCTTCAAGTGACTTTTCAAA